GCGACTCGCAAGCGGTGGTGCCGATCGTGGTCTGCAAAAACCAGCCAACTTTCACCACAAGTATTTGCATCACTCCATAGTAATACAGAATCGACACAAAGAAACTGAAGAATATGACGACTGGCATTGTCTAGTAATGATTAAAATCAATATTAATACCATTAAACAATTCTCTGCGAGTTAATTAATTTTGATAAAGTTATCAATTATTACAGTTAATACTTTTCTACTGCTTATGAGTTATGATAAAAATCAAACTCTGGGACAAATCATAATTTTCAATATTAAATTATAAATATTTAGACCATGTCTAAATAGGTCTGTTAGTGTAAATATTTGTTAAAATCGATAGATTAATAACAACTTATTTTACAATTCAAAGTGTTTTCAATAATGGAAAGGATTTATAGTTTTTGTCAAAAATATACACAATTATACGATTAGTTTGAAATGTAAGGTAATTATAAATATTTGATTAGAAGTCAGTTTTTTTTCATCACAACTCATAAAAATAAATAAAAAGCCGAAAAGTGTTGGCTATAATGATTACCTTAAAGGCAAACACAGCCGCTTGTGTGGGAATATGTAGTGTTTTACTCTCGCCTAAAACGGTGACGTTTTCGAAAGTGCCCTCCAGTTTGCCGGACACCAGATATCCGAATACAAAACTGGAACCGCTGTCTGTAAACTCCAAGAATGTGCTGACTTTCTGTCCGATGCATTCAAACACTTGTTTGCCGAAAGACCAGCGGAGGATGAATAGACCGAATAGAAACTGCAGCAAAACACCCCATAACACCTGATTCCACACTATATGCGACCGATGTTTCTGTTATGTTATGATTGTTATATCATTTATAACTAAATATTTAATAACATTTCAAACCGAAAATATGTATCCAATGAGTAGAAAACCGATGAGTCCGCCGCCAGAAGCCAGTCTTATGGGCTCATCGAGTGAGTCGATGACCACAAATACAACACAAATTGTGATTACAATAAACCAAACAATTTTTGATAAATGTCTGAACACAAAGCTGTCGGCATTTGTTTTAGTCAACGGACGGACTATTCTTTTATAAAATGGTTTTATGACATAAGACTTGAGGACTATATAATAAAGTGCCACAAAATATGATATACTCGTCA